GTGACCTGTTACATGAATGCCCCATGACCTGCCAGTCATGCTGGTGTGACCACCATTACAGGTATCCTAACCCAATCGTTAGTAACAGTTGCTGTAATACAAATATTACATAGGTGATTATCCAAATTTTCGCCGTCGATGAGATTTGAACACCCAACCTACCACTTGGAGGGTTGACAACCTGACCACTTCACTAGGTTACCACACCCTGATCTTAATTTATTTCTTTTCTTTTATCTTTATGTTCTTGATATTTTTTCTTTATATATAAAAGCACTTCTATTTTTTTAACTTTTTTTGCCTCTTTTATTCTTTCTAATTTTGTTTCTTTTTTTTAATGTTTCTCTCTTATTTGTGTTTACTTGATAACTAAAAGACCCAATACTAATTTTTTTGTCTATTCTTCTATAGTATTATGTAAAACTATAAATACTTTTGCTATTTTGAATACTTCTAATATTTAGTCATAAAGAAGCAAATTATTTGCTATAATGTTTTTTGAATCATAAATTATTAGTCTCTTGTTATATATTCTAAATTATCAAGATTTCTTATAAGTTTTAATAAAACTGCATCTAGTATTTTACTATCTATATTTTTCTATTTCTATCACTAAAACCCTTAATATATCAAATTGGATTTATACTATATAGTAATCTTAATCTAGTTTGTACTTCTATTTTTAAACTATTCTGTTGTTTATTTATCTGCTTATTCTACATATTATACTTTTCTGTTATTTTCTAATATAGCTATTTATTATTACTATTTGTTATTTAGTATAATATAATGTGTTGTTTTGTTTATGTTAATAGCTAGTTATGTGTTCCAATTTTATTTTTCTGAATTTAATACAGTTTTCTTAAAATCTGTAAAACTAGTAAAAGTTTTATTTAACAAAACTTTACTTATACTGTTGTTAAGATAAAATAGATATATTTTGTATAATGAATCTTTTTTTTTAAAAACTAAAATGAGATTTGTTAAACTGTTTTATGTTTTTTCTTTATATTTGTTTAATTTTGTTTAAAAATTAAAAGTCAGTAAAAAGAGTTGTACTTTTTATTATATATTTTTTCAATCAAATTTATATTATTTTAATATTATATTTAAAAAACTTATTTTTAAATACTTAAATTAATATTGTACAAAATTTAATATTTTATATAAACTAGTTTTATAAACTATTATTTTTATTCTGCTTAAAGTTAATAAGTTTTTCTATAAACAAATATGAAAATTATATTATATAAACTTTATTAACTAAAAACAATAACAAAAACTTAAATTATTTTATTTTAAACCTTTAATCTAATTAAATCAAAACAACAAAAAAATTTTAATTATAAAAGTTATACTTATTCTTGTTTATATGAACAATTTAATTAACTATACTCTAATTTTAATATTTGTTTACTTGTTTATTATGCTATTTATAAAATTAATATTTGATTTATCTTTAGATTAAATATGATATTTCTTATAATTATATTTTAAATTTACAAATCTAAATAAGTTTTGATCATTTTAATAAATTTAAGTTACAGATAAATATGTTTAAGTTTCTATTCTTAAATGTAATTTTCTTTTATTTATACTTCAAAAAATAATTATATAGTTAACAATTTAATAGTTAATTCTAACTACAAGTGTTAATTTTAACTATATTATTTATATAAAAAATTATTTTTATATATAACAGCTTTATATAGTTGCTAACTTTTAAACTACCAATAAAAATATAAGCAAGACCTTATCTTAATACCAAAAAAAAAATTTTATTAAACTTTAAAAATTATAAACTATACTAAAGAAAAAAATTTTTATTATTAACTTTATTTACTAAATTATTTAAACAAAAATCATATAGAAAAACATATTCTAAATGAATTTATCTAATATTTAAAATATATTTATATATATTCAAACTCAACTAATTTACAAACTTTAAACATAAAACTAAACCAAACCAAATTAAACTTTATAATTAAGTTTATTTAAATTTGAAAATCTGCAATTTTAATTTGACTAAACCTTGTGTGCCCTAATAAATTGTATATAAATTTTAATAGGTTTAGTAAACTTGAATTAAAACCACAAATGGTTTAGTATTAACAAATCTTAATACGTATTAGCTATACGTACTATTGTATATTTTTATAAAATAAAAAAAAATTGATATTTCTACATCTAAACCTAATCAAGACCCTAATAGTTATACGTATTGGATTTTATTAACAGAAGTGTGGCAATATCAAAAAAAGGGTGTAAAGAAATACGTATCAATTTCCATAATTAATTTAATGTTATTAAGAACTTTGTTTAGAAATTAAACTTTAAGCAAAAAATATCTTAGCGATCACTAAACCAATTTTAGTATTTCATTGAATTCTACATTATTTATAGAATATAATCAAGAAAATTCTTTGCATAAGTTACATGTCCCGTAATTGTTCAATGATAACTTTAAACAACCATCTAAATTTGAAACGATATCAATTTTTATTATAAATTTATAATTGAAATACAGACTGTACCGAAATTTAACCGAATTTTACGACAATTCATTTTTTGGTACTCCTCTCCGTTTTAGTAATTCAAATCATTAGTTGAAGCAAATAACTAATTGAATGAACCAATTAATCGTTGATTATATATCAATCAGTAGTATAATCGAAAAATCCATTACAATTAGTTAAATGGTATTTACTAATTTCCCCAAGTCCAATTCTGGCCAATCAGAAGACGAGATCAAGACAATCGTTAAAAAGAAATCAAATTTATAAATTTACTTGACAATTTAAATTTAAATGATTTGAAACAACTGCAAAGCCCCATGTAAATAATAATTCAAAATAATTTTTAATCTTGTTTAAAAAAAAAAAAAAGTATTTTTTTTGATGTCATTTTGTTCAAAATATTAATGTATACAAGAAATAGTATTAAAAAAAATGAATTGCATAAAAATTGTCTATTCTGTACAAATTTAAAGGAAACCTGATTATTTAAGAAATAAATTTCTCTTAATTAATAATCTTTAAGTAAATTAAAACCTTTCTAGAAAAACAAAATTACATTATTCGATTGATCAAAATACATTGCGTGTGAAAAGAAAATAATGCTAGCTTATTGGCTGGATGATTTTTATGGCATGGCTACTTATGGAAGTCTGCGTTGCTGCGCTGCCAGTGGATATAATTGAAGATGTATTTGTTGAAGATGGTAAAGAAGATTTTGTAGAATCGAATTGCAAACCATTAAATGAAATTGATTCAGCATGAGTCACATTTCCATTCAAACGCTCTAAGCAGCCATCTTTTGTATGAGAAGAGGAAGCTATCTGGGCACTTTTACGAAAAAAGACACCTCTTTTTGAAGTTTTTGCGACTACGGAACCACAATGGGTTGTGTCACTTAAACTACCACTCTGTATAGCAGTAGCGTCTTGTGAAGAGCGTTTTGACATTCGGGTTGCAGAAGTTTCAGGAATATTTTTTGCAGCAGAAGAAGGATTCTTTCTATTTATAGCATTATTATTATTATTATTATTATTGTTCGTAAGGTTAGTTCTATTACGAAAAAGAGAGCCAGCCCATTGTTTTGCCCAGCCAATTCTTTGCCTGACAGCTCTATAAGAACATTTATTAATAAAGAATTATAAAATATTAGTAAAATATTAATAAGATATTAATAGAGTTTCATGAAGGAAAAAGAAAATAAATAATAAAATAAATAATATAAAATATTGTAAAAAAAAAAAAAAAAAGAAGATACTAACCTTTTAGCCATAGTCACATTAACTTTACCAGAATTTTTCATCAAAAACAACATAGCACAATTACTTGCAAATAATAAAACAAGGAATAGATCAAAAGAACAAACTCTTATTACAAATAAATAAATGGTAAATAGTAATAAAACTTTACGGCGCTGTTTGACAAAGGCAATTTCACGTAACACTAATAAATAATAAATAGTAAGGATAAATAAGAATTAGAAAAGTAGAAAATTACAAGAGACATGGAAAGAAATGGAACAAACCTGCAAAAGAAGCTTTTTTTGAAGCTTTTGAATCAATTTCAGGATAAGTTAATAAATCTATGAATTGTAATGGAATATCCAATATTGTCTGATTTTTATTGTTTGAAGCATAAGTAGCAACATTATGTTGTTTTTGAACTGAAATGACCCCTTCAACTGGAGGAACTTCTAACCAACCCATTAACGAATCCATTAAAGAACTTCCTAAAGACAACCATTCATCTACATGATTAACACCAGTATGGTCGACATTTTCAGCATCAACATTTTCATCGATGGCAGCTTCACCATCAGAACTATCAGAATCGGGATAATCGGAATGATTTGCAGGAAACTCAGATCGTTCAGGAGATTGACTAAGAGATTCTTGATCCATAGAAGGTAAGGCATTTGCTTTCTCATTGATTATGGTGTTATTAGATTTTGTAGAAGAGGAGGAAGAAGAGGAATTACTACTTATGTTGTTTGTGGTCGAAATTAAAGGATAAGGGTCATTGTCATGATCATCCATTTCTCCAGAAGAATTTCCATCAGCTGAAATCGAAGTATCTGAGGCGTATTCATCAACGTCTTCTTCAAGTATGCTCTATATAAATATAAAAAATATATATATATTAATTATAATTTAATACAAAATTACGACTCGATTTACTTAAATACTAATGTTTACTAATTGTTATTAATTTTAACATACATTTCTATTATTTGCACACCATATCTTTAATTGTTTTAATATTTTTTTTACCGTTTTTTTACCCTCTACACCAGATAAAACTTCTTGATGTAATAAATCAAACGCTTCTATAATTTGATTAAAGTCGTTATTGTCAGCGACTATCAAAGAAAAAAAAAAGATTTACTTGTAAATGAAATTGTAAATTAAATAAATTAATAAAGATCAAACATTATATATATATATGTATACCTCGATAATGTGGAAAACCTTTTGTAATTATTCGATATCCTGATGAGTTACTTCGTTTTGGATTATTATTTTGTTGTTGTGGACCTTTTTGTAGCAAAAAATAGGGGGATTCTTTAATCGTTTTCCAACTAGACCGGCCCAAGTTACCAACCAAACTAGGTCCAACAAACATTAGTCAAGTTTTTTTTAAAAAGTATAATTTTAAAAATGGGTTCGCGTTTTTATATAAGTAAATGAGTATATACAAGAGACAAAGTAGTTTTAGACAGATGGGGAAGAGATCAAAGAAGCCTTTCGTAAAAGTAGACGGCAGCTAAAAAAGGCCGGAAACGTTGATTGAAATGGAGATCAAGGTTTTTTCGAAAGGACTTTTTTTTTCTTTTGTTACTCGGTATTGAATCGGTGGTGGTATTAAGGTTAATCGGTCGTCAGTCGAAGACGCGATAAACTTGAAAAACAATACCGCTACCGAGTAATAACGTTTATCGAAAGAACCTTGATTGTTTAAACTTTGGAACCAATCCTCAGCACATAAATACGTAAAGCAAATTAAACAGACATCAAAATAAAAGGCACAGAGAAGAATATTATTAATCGAATTAACGAATTAATAATTATGATAGGTGGAGTTAAACATTGAAAGGAATGGAAATTTTAGCGATACGTATTAGTTGCCCTATAAAATGCTATAAAGTGTACACAAGTAATAAATAAGAGATAACACTGGAAATGATATTAATATAATTTAACGTTTTATCATATGCAGTGGTTACAAATTTATAAACTGTTTATAGGGTCAAGCAAGTACAATGAAGAGTATTTATAAATAAGATAGATAAGATAGGTGGACCATTTCAGAAATCCAGAAATTGTGACCCTAGATATTTATCTGCTGACGTTAACACTTGCCATAAATAGGAAATATCTTTTTAAAGAATAAAAGTAGAATCATTTGTATTACTGAATTCTGAAAGTACGCAGATGAAAATTATGTTGGTTGGCCACGTTTTTATTAATTAATATATTAAGTCAAATGCAAATATGAAATCGCTTAATCTTTGTCGATGCATTCTTTCTATTCAAAAAAGACGAGATTTGATTATTGGTATTTTTTTTTTTACGTTTGTATTTTTAGAATCATTAATAACAAATAGCACTTATTTTATATGCCTTACTTTTAAATTTTAAAATCGTTCCAATAGGTAACTTTCCCAATTTACCACATTATTATCGTTATTATTATTATTATTGTTATGATTCAAAGCGTAATGGTAATCTCATCAATATACGTATACAGTAATAATATATAATACATATATGTATATATCGGCATATATAAATATCGATATATTAATATATACATATGTGCTTATTACAAGAAATAAACCGGAACTCGCGCGGATTTTAACTTAAGCAATATTTTTTTGTGATCAATTACATCTTGGCAGTCCCCCAATAAATTCCTACTTCGCCCCCGCTTTATGGTAATCTTTTATCCTTTTGTTATTCAAACAATGAAACTTTACATAAATGACGTTTTAACTAGTATAAATAAAGTTTTTTCTTTACCTCTACAAAACGATTATGCATATGTCCGTATGTCTATCAAATTTTACAAAGTTTTGTCTTTATAGAAATCGTTACATCGTTTATTACTACACTGATATAAACTATATTGGCCTATCGTTAGCTCTGTAAAAAAAAAACCGTTGTACAATGATGAATCTTATTACATATTAGTAACATATTGTTATTTAAATATTATTATTATGACTACTTATATTAAATATGTATTTAATTGTTTTGTCTTTATATACAAAAAGATAAAATTCAACTGTACGTACATACATATTGATATGTAAGCAGGCTTGGAAAATAACCCAAAAAAAAAATTTTTTTTTATAAATTTATTTTTGGAAATTGCGTAATTTCACTTAGGATATCAGGCCATACCGATCACAATTTCTTTTTTTACGTCGACTGTTGCGTGTATATCAACATAAATGTCATGGTTTTCATAATATTCATGGCGTAAAATCTTTAAAATAAACCCAATAACCCGGATTTTGTTAACAATCCTCTTACAGGATTATCTTGGTAGGACATGTGAATTTAAATCTTAAAACTTGTCTTATTTTATACAATTTCAAAAAAAATTCAATTATCGTTATTAAATTAAAAAATTGCAAATTCTTTTTTTTTTTTTTAATTTTTTATTAAGTCTCTTTTTTAGTCCTGTACGTTTACTGTGTCAATTTTAATTGTAAAATATACGTAATACATATCACATGATATAATAAAGCTTAAAATTACACAAATACGTATTATGTAAGATTATATACTGCAGTTACTGTGCATAATTGTACTTTATCTATTAACAATCTACTTAACAATCTACTTAACAATCTACTTAACAATCTATTAACAATCTATTAACAATCTATTAACAATCTATTAACAATCTACTTAACAATCTACTTAACAATCTACTTAACAATCTATTAACAATCTATTAACAATCTATTAACAATCTATTAACAATCGTATTGGTTACTTTAAATCATATTCTTATATAATTAGAATAATTATATTAAGTTTTTATTACAAGTTTATTATTTTTTTTCTATTAAATTAGCCTTTTTGAGACTGGAGCTTTTTATTTAGTATTATAGGTCATAGAAACTTATAGTTAAAGCCTTAACAGAGCCACCTTTATATAGAAAGTACAATTAGTTACATATATATTTTTGGTATCTAATTTAAATAGTTTGTTTATAGTTTTATATTAGTTGTCATATTTATAATTTAGCTAAAAATATTGTTTATTTTTATTTTTTTTTTAAATGTTAAGATGAGTACATGTAATCTAGGATTTTATTGATAGTATCAGATGATCAGCATCTGTTGACATAACAGTGCAGAGGTGATCATAGAAAGAGTGTACAACTAGCCACTTGTACAACTTTAGTTATTGTCTAATTTAAGTAGTTCATCCAAAGATTCTACACTAGTTGCTATACTTAGAACCTACTTGTAAAATTTCTATTTAAATACTTTAATCTCATATCTATCACACTCTATCACCAATTTTGATAAACTAATGAAGATATGTTATAATTATTAAGTTATATTTAACTTTGTACTAAACCTATTAGTGCATTCTGTATCTCATACTTACAACTTACTTGGTATCACTTTGGTCTAAACCATTATTTGCAGTCAGAATTAACTATTAAACTACTTTTACTCTTGTAATACAGGTCGAATAAATAAATAAAGAATGAATAATAGGTAAATAACAGAAAAAAATTCTGCTATTATTCTACTCTATATCCACCAAATAATAGCAGCATAATAGTAGCATAACAGCGGAATAACAATAAAATAATAGGAGGTTTGTCAATATGAGTAATATAATAATAATATAATAGCAAAATAATAGAACAGTTTTATTATTTACTTTTAGTTACAAAGACTAAAAGTAAAATAATAGAACTGTTCTATTATTTTGCTATTATGTTACTATTATATTACTCATATTGACAAACCTTCTGTTATTTTACTGTTATTCTGCTGTTATGCTGCTATTATTTAATAGATATAGGATAGAATAATAACAGAATTTTTTTCTGTTATTTACCTATTATTCATCTTTTATTCATTTGTTTGACCTGTATAAGATTCATCCAAAATTCTAATACACATCTTTCTGATATCCTCTTTATTATCTTCTACTAACTGCTACTTAGGATTGATGGAAGTCTCTAAACTTCTAATTCAGATAGTCTGATATGGTATACCTTAGTATTCTTTTCTTTCAATAATTTTAGCAACCTAATTAGTCATATGCTTCTTTATATATTTTGTCATTTGGTTTATCTGCCTATTTCTTTAAAAGTGGTTCATAGGCTTCTATTAGTTTAATAGCACTGTCAAAAATTTTGTGTTACCTTCTTACTCAGGATTTTCAAGTAGATTTCTGATTCTTTGATTTCTTTACTTTCTGCACCTAGTAGTCTTATTATAGGTTTGCATTAAAGTCTTATACAACACTGGTTATTAACATTCCTTTATATGAGTATAACATTATATTTAGCATAAATGTTCTGAGATCCTATTTAAGATAGTGCAATTAAAGGTTATAGATATACTAATCTAACTGATCAACAAAGCCAGTTATTATAATACGGACCTATTTTCTAAAATTCATCATCTATAAAATTTGAACTCTAGACTTGCCACTTGGAAATTGATAACCTGATCATTTCACTAAATTATCATACTTCAAATATTGTTTATTTAAATTTTTTGTATTGCAATTTCTATTATATTATTAAAATATTTCTAATATATATGTCAATTTAAATGTTTATTTATATACTTAAAATACTTATTTTATTTTATATAATTTATTTTTAAAGTATTTATAATCAAACAAAAACATATAAAAAAATTATTAATATTGTTAAGTTCTTAATAATACTATGATAATAATTTAATATATATTTAATATTATTCTAATTTGGCATTTATTTTTTTATAAAAATTTAATTAATTTTAGAAACTTATTAATAATTTACTATATCAAAATTATAAAAAAATATTAACATTTTTAATAAATTTTTTAAATTTGCAAAATTTATTTTAATTTTTTAATATTTTATATAATTAAATAAATTCTATACACCTATCTAATATTATTTTTTTGGTTAAATTTTACTGTGCAAATGTTTTATAATTTAAAAACTTTTCTATATAGCAAATAAAGAAAATTCATAAACAACTATTTATAACTATATGCATTATTTATAAAATATTAAATTTTTGTATAATATATATACATTTGTTTAAAAAAAACATACATAATTTTTATTTTGTATACTATATAAAGTTTATATGCTAAAAAATAATTACTGCATTTATTAGTCTTATTTCTTATATATATTGGTTATTAATATAATTTTTAATTTTTTTTTATTAGTTATTTTATTTATATTCAATTTTATAGTTTTTATCAAATATTATACTTAAAAATTTTTTAAAACAATAAATAATTAAATATATTTATTATTAATATAGTATTATTTTTATTATATATTATATATTTATATATTATTATACTAAAAATAATAATTAAAAATGTAGTAACCTAATAAAGTGGTTAGGTTGTCA